CACCGTAGTCCTCAAGCTGACATCTTTGCTCTTCAACACTTTAAAAAGGCTTTGTGCATCAGATGTGCCTAATGAATACATCGTTTGATTTCTTGGCTGCTGTTTCCATGAGTGTTGATGGTTAAGCCAAGAAAACATGAAGTCTTTGACAACTTCAATCCTCAATCTCAGATAATAATAACCTTAGGCAAATCGTTCAATCTCTTGAGCCTCAGGATTTTATCTCTACAACATGGAGATAAAATGCCCATCTATCTCCTTCCTGAAATCATTTTCTCTTTGAGAAAATGAGTTAAGAAAGCCTTGAAGTATATTATTTTTAAAGCATGAAATTCTGTTGTTGCTAATTGCTGTCTAGTCAGTTCCAACCCATAACAAGCCTATGCCCAATAGAACCAAACACTGCCCAGTCCTGCACCATCCTCACAATTGTTACACTTGAGCCCACTGCTGCTGCCACTCTGCCACTCTGTGTCATTGGGGATCTTCTTCTTTTTCACTTAGCCTCCACTTTACCAAGCATGATTTCCATCTCCAGAGACTGGGCCTTCCTGATAAGATGTCCAGAGTATGAGAGACAAAGTGTGACCATCCTGGCTTCTAAGGAGCATTACAGCTGTCTTTTTCCAATACAGATTTGTTTGTTCTTCTATAAGAATATTTTAATATTATTTTCCAACATCATAACTCAAATGCATCAATTTTTCAAAGTTCTTCCTTATTCATTGTCCAACTTTCACATGCATATAAGATAATTTAAAATACCACAGCTTGGATTAGGCACACCTTAGTCCTCAAACTGACATCTTTGCTCTTGAACACTTTAAAAGAGGTCTTTTGCAGCAGATTTGTCTAACACAATCCATTGTTTGATTTCTTGACTGTTGCTTCAATGAGTGTTGATAGTGGATCTAAGCAAAATGAGGTCTTTGATCACTTCCAAGTTTTCTCTGTTTATCCTGATACTATTTATTGGTCCAGTTGTGAGGATTTTTGTTTTCTTTGCACTGAAGTGCAATCCATACTGAAAACTGTAGTCTTTGATCTTCATCAACAAATACTTAAAATATTCTCCATTTCAACAAGCAAGGTTGTATTATCCACGTACATAAGTTATCTATAAGTCTTCCTCCAATCCAGATTCAGTTTCTCAGATTGTTTGCTTAGCATACAGATTAAGTATAATGAAAGGATAAACACCTTGTGCATACCTTTGTTGATTTTAAATAATTCAGTATCCCCTTGTTCTGTTTGAATGACTGCCTCTTGATCTATGTACAGGTTTTCCTCATGAGCACAACTGAGTGTTCTGGAATATGCAGTCTTTGCAATGTTATCCATAGTTTGGTGTGATCCACACAATCAAATTCCTTTGAAAATGAACAAGTACAAGTAGACATCTTTCTGATATTCTCTGCTTTCAGCCAAGATCCATTTGACTTCAGCCGTGATATTCCCTAATTCAACATCCTCTTCTGAATTTGGCTTACATTTCTAGTAGCTCACTGTTGATAATACTGCTGCAATTGTGTTTTAATTATCTTCAGCAAGATTTTATTTGCATGTGATATTAATGACATCGTTAGATGATTTTCATATACTGTTGGGCCACCTCTCTTTGGAATGGGCACAGATCTGCATCTCTTCCAATCATTTAGTTGGCCAGGTAGCTGTCTTCCAAATTTCATGGCATAGATGAGTGGCCACCGCCAATGCTGCATCAGTTTGTTGAAATATTTCCATTTGTCTTCTGTCACTTCAAGGTGCCTTGTTTTTCATCAATGCCTTTAGTACAACTTGGACTGAACCAACTCAACCAACTCAGTCCCATTGGTTCTTGATTATATGCTACCTCTGGTTGAATATTGACCATTTCTTTTTAATAGAGTGGCTCTGTGTATTCCTTCCATTTTCTTTTGATGTTTTCTGCATCATTCAATATTTTCCCCATGAATCCTTCAATATTCCAAGTTCTTACAGTTTGAGAAATGCTGAGTATGTTCTTTCCTTATAGTTTCATAACTCCAGGTCTTTGCAAGGTCAGTTGAAAATACAGCCTTGGTGGTAGAAATGATACTGAAGATTGGATAATAAAAGTTTGTAAGACCTTGCTGTTGTTGTTGTCATCAAGTGTCATTGAGTGAGTTTCAACTCAGCCAACCTGTATAGGGTTTCCAAGGAGTGGCTAGTGGATTTGAACCACTGACCTTGCAGTTGAAACCAACCCTACGGCCCTGTGCTTTATCCTGAAGCACCTTGTAGCCATATTATCCTATTACAAACATTTTACTTCCAGATGGATCTTGAAATGGTCTTTTCCACCACAAATGCTATGGCATTCCTCTTCAATTTTATGTTCCTGGCATAGTAAACCATATGATTGTCAGATTAAAAGTGGCCAATACCAGTCCTTTTCTGCTCACTAATGCATAGGATATCGATGTTTATGCATTCCATTTCATAATTGACAACTTCCAATTGGAATGAAATGTATTATTAATATCATTATTATAATTGTTCAGAGTATCACTAAGTAGTTAAAACTTAGGGCTTTAACATCAAAGAGACATAGTTCTAAATTCAGTCTTTGCCACTTAATAGCTGTGATCATCTCTCTAAACATCAGTTTCTTCATCTGTAAAGTAAGAATAATATGAGAATTATGTGAGATTATGCATTTAAAGTGCTTAGTGCAATGTCTGGCATCTAGTAAGCCTTTGATAAAGTTAATAACTCCTACTAGTTAGTCTACATTAAGAGAGAGGGAAAATTCTAATGTATAAATCCAGGTAGGAATGAACTAGAAGCTGTTGATCCACCACTCTGCTTTCAGGAGTCTTGTCTGCAAGAGATAGGAAGGCATCTAGCTGCCTATCTGTTGATCTACACTTGGGCAATACCTAAAAGGACTCTTTCGTTTAAGCAGCAAATAAGAATAATTGAGAATCATCAAACTCACATAACCAAGCTCGTGTAATTAAATGAGACTACTAAATATAGTTTGTTCCTCAGTCAAAAAAGACTTCCTGGTGACACTGTAGGATACACATTGGACTGCTAACCTCAAGGTCAGCAGTTCGAACTCACCAACTGCTCTGAGAGAGAAACATGAGGCTTTCTGCTCCCATAAAAATTGACAACCTCAAAAACCCTATACAGGGTTGCTATGAGTCAGAATTGACTTGATGGCCGTGGGTGTTGGTGGTGGTCAGTTTAAATCAAGTATGTATAGCACAAAAGGAGCCCTGATAACATAGTGGATTACACATTGGACTGCTGACCACAAGGTTGGCAATTCGAATCCACCAGCCACTCTTAAGGGAGAAAGTTAAGGCTTTCTGCTCCCATAAAGATTTACAGCCTTGGAAACCCTATACTGAGTCTCTGTGAGTCGGAACTCACTCAAGGGCACACAACAGCAGCAGCAGTACTACTGATATTAATTTGTACTCCTTATTTAACAGTGGAAATTATACAGGAAGAGTGTAATCTAACTAGGTTTCCCTTTTGGGGGTATTACTCAGTCGTGGTGTGGTACTTACTGTAAGATAAGCACTGGACTGCTAACCACAGGATTGGTGGTTCAGAGCCACCAGTCTATGTATAGGATCACTATGAGTCAGAGCCTACTCAATGGCACTTAATAACAGCAAGAACAATACATATATGAGGAGTCCTGGTGTGGCACTGTAGGATAAGTACTGGACTGCTAACTACAAGGATACAGATTAAACCCACCAGCCACTCCTCGGAAACCCTATACAGGGTCACTATATGTCAGAACCTACGCAAGGGCACTTAAGAACAATAACTACAATCTTAGTTTAGTATAGTTTATTTAGCTAGAATACTCCTTAGAAGGGAGAATAGCAAGACTTTGTATAGCATGCAGAGATTAGTCTCTGAAGAAGGATATCATGCTTGTAACATAGAGGGTCAGGGAAAAAGAGGAAGACCCTCAAAGAGGTGTGTTGACACAGTGACTGCAACAATGAACTCAGACATACTAATTATTGTGAGGATGGGTGCAGGAGCAGGTAGTGTTTCATTCTGTTGTACGTAGGGTTGCTATGACTGGATGGCACCTAACAACACTAAGAACAATCAGTTTTTCTCTCTTTCCTTCACTGATCTACCTCTTTGTCTAATACCTTTACTTGTAATCTTGGAGAATTCATCCTCATGTCTACAAAGAACACTTCATCAGTTGAAGTTTTAAAATGAGGACTTACTTTCTGGCAGAATACAAAACTGCTTGCTGCCTATCTTATTTATCTCAATGAATAGCACCACTATTCTTGAAGTGCTCTCACTCACTGTTTTTTCTGCTCGTTGCCTGTATGTTTTGCTCCTGTGTTCTTTGCTAGGTGCCTTGTGACAACACGGAAGGTTTTTACCACTTTGCTTTCTAACTGGAAAAAAGCAACAACCAAAACTTCTAGCTTTAGCCTGACCCACATAGGACTCTTTGGCCCACTGTATCATGATCTCCTTTCTCAGTGCTATGGTTCAGAACTGTGACTCATTACCTGTCACCCAAACCCATTGCTGTGCCAATCCACAGTGAACTCTGTGCACCTACTGTTGGAGGGCAGAACAACCAAAGAGAGCTATATGTAAATAGAGGGGGAAACAGCCATAGCGTATGATTTAAGCATTCATTCCAAAAAGTGTTTTTTCAAATTATTTTAACTTTTAAATATGCTTAGCTTAATCAAGTCAATATTTGATAGCATTCATGTAAGGAATGCAATTCTTCTTAGTACCAACTGCTAACCTTGAGGTTAATGGTTCAAACCCACTCACCACTCCTCAGAAACCCTGTAAGTCGGAACCAACTTGGCAGCACTTAACAACAATGTGTAAGGAATTTCTCAAGACTTTATTCATCCTTATATTAAGCCAGATCTCCAGGTAGCTGAAAATTGGGACTCAATATCAAATCATTTCATTACATATACAAGTGGAGACAGACAGTGAGAAGCAGAGAGGAGAGGAGAGAACGAGGGAGGAAAATGGCATGAATTAGTTACATATAGGATCTCTGGAGAGCACCTCTCTCTCCCTCACCAAACGTTTTCTATAACCAGAGTTTTCATCAAGTTACTCTCTCTGGACAACATTAAAAATTCTATTCTTAAAAAAAAAAATGCTTCTTGTACAATGACCTTGTCCTACATTTCCTTGGAGATTGAGGTAACATCTTCAGTGAAATCAACTTTTCTAACTAAGCGTACTTCCTGCTACTATGCAGTCAGTAATGTTGTAGAACTCTGTGTACTTCCCTCCTTTTCCTCTATGGGAGGATTCCGTGTCACACATCATTTCCAGAACTTATTTCCACTACAGTTCTTTCTTAGTGTTTATTTTCTCTTTCAACTTCAGTTCTTGGTTATAGTTTTATATTTTATTATGTTCTGGTGTGATGATGTGTAGGATAAGGCTGGACTGCCAACCGTAAGGTTGGTGATTCCAACCCAGCAGGTACTCCTTGGAAACCCTGTACAGGGTCACTGTGAGTTGTAACAGACTCAAAGCTTTTGACAACAATTATATCTGTATTTTTATCATTAACTACTTTACCTTCTGTTTTAGAAGTAAATTATATAAACAATTTAATAAAAGAAATATATACTTTTAGCTTCATCAACTGATTCATATCCAATAATCTACAAACTAATCCAGTATCTGTAATGCCTGGTAGTCTCAGAAAATTTTCCCCACCAGGCACAGTCACCCTGTTTTCTGAAAAGAAGTATCAAGGTCTGAAGAGAGCAGGGATCAATTTAAATGCAAGGGGGCTTCAAAAACTTTGTAGAAAAATGGAATTAAAAGTTAGTGGGACTTTTCCAAGAACATTTTGAAGCTCCCTCATAGATGATGTGTGAAAAAAGAAAAGGAAAAACACAAAAACAAAACAGTTGCCAGCCATCTGGTCACCTCTGACTCATGCGTGTCAGCATGGAACTGTTCTCCACACAGGTTTTTCAATGACTGATATTTTAGAAGTAGATCCCCAGGCCTTCCTTCTAAGGTCCCTCTGGGTAGAGTCAAAAGAACATCCATCCATCAGCTTACTGGCTGAGCTCATTGACCATTTATACCACCCAGTATAAAATGATTTTTTACAAAAGAACAGTGGATATAAGGTTCGAATTACCTTAATTGTTACAGAACTGAAGTGGATATGAGACTCCAGTTACCTGATGGGGGTGATTATGTGCCGTGGAGTCGGTTCTGACTCTTAGCGACCCTGCACAGGGTTTCCGAGGCTGTAAATCTTGACGGGAGCAGAAAGCCTCATCTTTCTCCCACAGAACAGCTGGTAGTTTTGAACTGCTGACCTTGAGGTTAGCAGCTTGACTCGTAACCACTATGCTAAATGAAGTAGCTGAGAGTAAGGAAAGGAGTGATCCAAATACTTGTAGGTCAGAGGAGAATGGCCTTGTGTTCAGACCTCTGGCTGGAAGCAAAGAGAGACCTTATCTAATGGCGTGTTCCCACTTATTTATAGTCCATTTATTTCCAAATAAGATTTGAAGTGACTTTAATACAAAAAAAAAAATGTACACACTAAAATGGTAAACTAGAATAGATATAAAATGGGAAAGGAAAGATTTAGCAGCTGTATTTTAAATTTTGCTGTATACATTTCATTGCATGCTAGTATCTAATGATAAAATGTAGTGGAAGTATGTCAAAATCCCAAATCACTCTTTCCAATTGCTAAAAGTTTGTTTCTCAAAATAGATATAAGATTATTTTAAATATATAATTGAACCTCTTTTGAAAACACAAATTGAGTTACATTAAGATGAATTTATCATTTTGCATAGGTTCTGTTACTGGAAGACTCAGAGAAATATGAGGTGTTCAGCCAACTAGATAGGGAAGAGTTCCTGTTTTGTCTTTTCAAGCATCTTTGTCTTGGTGGAAGCCTTTGTCAGTATGAAGATGTGGTCAATCCCTATCTGGAGACAGCAAAACTTATCTATAAGGATCTGGTGAGGTAATGTTGCTAGAGCACATTATGTAATTCTCTGGTTAATTGGGTGACTTATTTAATCACATTGGGAGTAAACTGTATCTGTTTCCAGTCATGGTAATAACCTAAATGTATAAAAACAGCTCCACCCTGGCCTTCTCTATAGCATCTTCTTTTTCCTTCAAGATTGGAAGTTTCTAGATTTCCCTGACACTCTGTTAATTACAAATCGGGCTGCTAACCCAAGGTCAGCAGTTCTAAACTACCAGCTGTTCCACAGGAGAAAGATGAGGCTTTCTGCTCCCATAAAGATTTAAAGCCTCAGAAACCCTGTACAGGTTCCCAATGGGTCGGAGCCGACTCCACAACACATAACCACCACCACCACTCTTAGTCGTCAGTCCCATTATTCTTCATTTGCTTATTTCCTCATTCAGATCTTTCACCCACTTCATACTTACTAGTGACTGCCATCTTCCAGGCCTCTGTTTTTTGTTTTGTTTTTTTTCACTCCCAGGCCTCCTTTGGAATCACAAGGAAACACAAGAATTCCCTCAGGATGTTTGAATTGCTTGCCTACTAGAATATATATATGTATTATACTTTATCCTTTAGTTTTAACTTCAGTGAATGCTTCTTGATTGTGATTTTCAATGGTGAAATTATCTGATGATCTTTGTAGGCAAGGGGGAAATAAACAAAAGAGAACAAAGCATCTCAATGTTTACGTTGCCAAAGAGCAAACTGGGGTCTCTGTTAAAAAGATTTACTGAATGAATAGAAGGACCTAGATTGTACAGTACTTTGTGATGATTCATAAAAGTACTCTCTGGCTGTGAGTGAAGTTTAAACTCTCCTCCACAGAATTTAAGTACAGAAAATCCAGGAAATTATAAGAAAACATTTTGATTGGTTCAAAGTTACAAAATCATGCTTTAACAGACAACAGACAATTCCTGGATCCCATGAGCATCATTTTGTTAATCTGTGGGTATTTCAGGGCCCACCCTCAGTGAATATCTCCTGAGAGCATGCTGTGGGTGGGAGAGAGAGGGAGGGAAGCCCCTAGGCTTTCTGAGGTATGTAAACAGTTGTTGTTTTGCAGTAAACAGTGAAAATGGAGTTTACCCTGAAGCTCTGACAGAAGCCCCTCCTTATGCCAAGCACCTAGACTTTTTTTAAAAAGTTCCTTTGTTGTTGTTTTTGTTTTTGAGTGCCAAGGAGTTGGTTCCAACTCATAGTGACCCTGTATAAGGCTTCCAAGGAGTGGCCAGTGATCGTGAACCACCTACCTTGTGTTTCAAACCAACCTTGAAATCCCCCACATTAACCCACAAGGCTACACCAGGATGCCTTTATAGGTGCATAATTTTTCTTTATTAGAAAAGCGACAAAATTAGTTTTTCATCTAACCCTTGGATGTTGTTTACTTATACTCAACCTTTCATTGCTCATATCCATTTCACACCTATCATTAGCTAGTAACAAACTACATGATTATTTATTTCATTACTTAATTAGTTAATTTCTTACATGGTTTTAAAATAAAGATTATTTTTATAATCTGTCACTAATCTGAATGAAAAATTACTATGTCAATGCATATAGATTGCCAGAAGAGAAATGTTAGAAGCTTATGCTTTCAGAAAGAGTGCAAAGATACATATATCAGTTTTACTGTCCTTATCATTTGCAGCTCATGAAAACTTAGCAAACTGCTATAGCCTTCCTAGCTGTACCCCAGCCACACACATGCACAAAGACATACCACACCACAATCGCCACAGTGTGCTGTGCTCCCTTCGGCCACATGAATCTGTGAAATTCCTCACTACCATGTATAATTCTTGGGGAGATGGAGGAGGAGATTCCATTAGAGATACTGGATATAGAACTTTAGGACCTAAACATTAAAGAAATTGCCCTACATTTCCTATATTCTCACCTGGTGTGGCAGTGTAGGATAAGCACTGAACTGCTAACCACAAGGTCAGTGGTTCAAACCCAGTAGCTGCTCCTTGGAAGCTTTACACAGGGTCACTAGGAGTTGGATCCAACTTGACAGCACTTAACAACAACAAAAAAGTGAAGTATTTTATATAATTAAATGTTCATTTTTTATAGACAAGTATTTACAGATCTTTAAGGAGCTCTGGTAGCGTAGTGGTTACAAATCGGGCTGTGAACCTTAAGGTCAGCGGTTTGAAACTACCAGCCGCTCCGCGGGAGAAAGATGAGGCTTTCTACTCCCGTAAAGATTTACACCCTCGGAAACCCTGTACAGGGTCGCTATGGGTCGGAACCGACTCGACGGCACTTAACAACAACAACAACAAGCTATAATATAAATCCTCTACAAGTTCAAATCAGGAAGTTATCGATGTAAATGCTAGCAGTCAGGAAAGTCTTGGTGGCATGGAATCCGTGAGGATGGGCAGAGAGGAAGGCAGCCTGTTCCTGGTTTAGGGACAATGAAGCACAAGTTTGTCATTCTGGGAGAGACTGGGAAAGAGACCGGTTCATTTGCAGTATTACTTTTTGCTGTTGCTTGTTTGTTGTTAAGTGCCATCAAGTCAGTTCCAATTCAGAGCGACCCTGTATAGGGTTTCCAAGGAGCGGCTGGTGAGTTTGAACTGCCAGTCTTGCTGTTCAATATGACCTTGAGGTTCAGTGCATTATCCCACAGTGCCACACCATTAAATACTTCTCTAGATGTAGATCTAAACTGAAGCATGCATATGCATTTATTTGTTGAATGAAGAGAATATGAAATTATCTTCCCAAACAACTTCAGCAGAAAATTACAATGTCATAATTATGTATTTGTGATGGTTTAGGTGTCAATGCAAAACAATTGAATCAATTAAATCACCTCAGAACCCTACAAAATCTATGTGGTTTACTTACCACATGCTCTACAGCAGTTGTTCTAATTTTAGCTAGCTCATGCAGATTTGGAGTCCTGGTGTGGCGCTGTAGGTTAATGCGCCACACTGCAAAGACGTTTGAATTGCAAGGTCGGCAGTTCAAGCTCACCAGCTACTCCTCGGAACCCCTATACAGGGTCACTATGAATCAAGGTCGGCAGTTCAAGCTCACCAGCTACTCCTCGGAAACCCTATACAGGGTCACTATGAATCAGAATCGACGCAATGACACTTGACAATAACATGCAGATTTGTTTCCGATACTGTTATGTGGGTCATGGTTATGACCTTGTTTATTTAATGATAAAGATATAGAGTAGATCAATGTAGCAGTTATATAGGAATTTGTAAGTACAGCCACTTCCCACCCGCCTGAATAGGTTCCAAAGACCTGGTCCTTATGCAAATAATTGTTATGCAAAAGTCTGGGATCATGATTTCTGGACCATTTCCTGCTGTGGCTCCTACATCATGGAATGCATATGGTATGGTGGTGGTGGTAATGGAGGGCCTTCCCCACCACAGAGAGTGGGGGGTGGGAGTGGTGGTAGTAATCCGATGTTGCCCGCTACCCGCTCAGGGTAGGACCCCCTCTCTACCTCAGTCCACTGGGGCCCACAGCCCCGTGCTGCCTCTCCTTCCCTCTCCTTTCCCACTTCTCTCACCAGCCTTCCCAGCACCTTAGGGCCCAGTCTCATCCAGTACACCCGTGACCTCATTTCATCCCACTCCACCTTACACTGTCCATAGCCAGACCAAGACATCACCAACGAACTGGAGAAGGCATCCCACAGCCAACTGGCCACTGCCTTTTGTGACCCTGTCATCACCGGAACCTTTAATATATTGTTTGGAGTGACCTGCGGTGGGCTCCTGGGCCTCGCCATAGCCCCACTTGGGAACTGGGTCATGGAGACACTAACTGAAAAGTTTTTCAGAATGTGAAATATTGGATGACAAGATAGTTGGTAAAGAATAGGTGTATTGTAAGCATTCATGAAATGTAAAGTATCTTCAGTAATTTACTCAGAATTCTGAGCCACATTTACAATCAGGTCATGTGTACAAGCCAACTTACCCAAGAAGGTTGTTTTTCTGTTCCTTTACTCAAATTTGGATGTTTCAGAAAAACATCTATCTTTCTAATTATACTTGCAGTCACTGCTTTACAGTGCCTAATCTACCCTTGCAGATTAATATCGCCACTAATCGTTTCTAGGAAAGACATCCATTCCTAATGTTTGAAATGTGATTTCAGTAGTCACTGACTGAAGCAAAAGTCTAACCTTGTTCTTACAAATATTTTCTTCCTCATCCACTCCAAAAAAATAACCCAAAAAAACATGTTGCTGTCAGTTGATTCGGACTCATAGAAACCCAGTACAATAGGTCTTATGAAATACATCTTTTAAATACTTTAGAAAATGCCTTATATTCAAAGATTTTATGGTTCCTTTAAATAAGTAGGCAATACTTTATTGTTGTTATTGTCAGGTGCCATTGGGTCACTTCCAACTCATATCAATCCTGTGTAGGGTTTCTGATCACTTCCAACTCATATCAATCCTGTACAGGGTTTCTGATCACTTCCAACTCATATCAGTCCTGTGTAGGGTTTCTGATCACTTCCAACTCATATCAATCCTGTACAGGGTTTGTGATCACTTCCAACTCATATCAATCCTGTGTAGGATTTCTGAGGAGCAGCTGGTAAAACTGCCGGTTTTATGATTAGCAGCCAAGTGCTTATCCTAGAACACCACACGAGAACTCTAAGCAATACTTGAGAACCATTTAATTAGAGAGTTAACAATCTGTTGTTTCATTACATTTCATACTGACAGATTTGGGCTGCTAGCCTCAAGGTCAATAGTTCAAAACTACCAGCTGTTCTGTTTGAGAATGATGAGGCTTTCTGCTCCTGTAAAGATTTGCAGCCTCGGAAACCTATACAGGGTCACTATGAGTCAGAACCGACTCCACGGCACACCACCACCACCATGACCCACCCCATGTAATAGGAGCCCTGGTAGTATAATGGGTTATGAATTGGGATGTTAACCACAAGGTCAGCTGTTCAAAACCATCAGTTGCTCT